ATTTATATGTTATAAGGGTAGGAATTATATGAGAATATAAATAGTTATGTTTTTTGTTAGTTAATTATAGTAACCCCTACTTTACAGTTATTAATCGTATACATTTATTGTATATTTGTTAGGGTTATATAAAACATTAATTTGTGTTAAATAATAGTGTTTTAATTTTGAATTGACTAAAAATAAGTTATCAATTCAATTGCACTGTAATACATTTAAAAAATTGATTCACTTATTAAGTACACCATAATTATTATTAATATAAGGGTATGTATTGTGGGAATAAAAGTATGTATTTTTGACACACCTTTACAATCAGTTAAAAAAAAGTTTTATTTAAGTTTAAAAGCACTCAACAAATGTTACCAAAAAAATCATTAAATCTTATCACAAAATAGTTTTATTTAACAAAAAAAAAGTAAAATAATTAACAAATAATCAAAATAATAATCAACACTTGAATTAGCGCTAAAAAGTAGGCAAAACTTTGTCGCACTTTTCCACATCCATCACCCAATCATTCATATGTTTCCATACATTAGGGCTTTGGAAACATGTCTGTCCGCCACCCCTCTTAAACTGGGACTGCATTCGGTTCATATCGCCGAAGCATACGAAGGGAACGGTAGCCGTCTTACTAATAGCCCATTTGCTATGATCCTTAAGATAGTCGAACTGTCCCTTCAGTGTGGAGTTCATAAACGATACGCTAATGTCGTCTATGTTTTCAACAGTTTTCTTGAGGTCACACTCCGAGGGTAACGGAGTTCCCACCCCTTGTCTCCAACTTTCCACATATAGGTTGGTCTTGAGTGCCGGCGCCATGATCTGGGAGTACAGGTCCACGTGATCTCCCGGCGCTTTGCTAAAACTTGTGAAGTTTACACCACCGGCGCTGACTATGGTCTGGACGTTCATATCGCCGGATATCCAGTCCTTATCACTGAATGATTGGATGTTTTTGGACCTACTCTTGAGGTCGGGGCTCACGTGTAGGGTATAGGCGTTTGGCTGCATGTATAGCATCTGCTCAAACACCCGGTCCAGTTCAGTGATTTTTAGGGTTATACATAGGGCTGTCTGCCCGTATTTGGCACCGGTAGGTGGGTATATGTACTTGTGTTCAGCCTATTTGATGGCATAATAAAGTTTTGAAGACTTTGTCTAACTTTAAGATTACTATTAATTATATAATACCTCTTCGGACGCAAACTTGGGAACGGTATGTATGAGCCAAAAGCCTAGGCTGTCATCAGCGGCTATGACTCCCTTGGCGTGAGCACCGGTAGATTTCGTGGTACCATTAGGGGGCTGATCGCTGTAATTGATATAACTGATGCTCGGGTCAACCGTTTTGGCATATAATGGGTGTAATGTCTGTCCAAATATGGACTTCTCGTCAGTGATGTCCACATCAGACAGAGTCCATCCCTTGTCGGACATACTAGTCATGTATGCATAGCGTAGGCCTGTGTCTAAAGGGGGCTCGGCGTCCGTAACTCTGGGAAGTTTGTAGACTACATACCAGTCCACAGGCTTTCCCTTTTCGTCCACACATTGCAATTGACAGCTAATTATAGCGATTATATTAAATATACATAAAATGCTAAAAGTGTTCATGGTTAAAATATATAATAAAAGTTATATTAAACTCTAAAAGTTATAAATTAATTATAATTAATATATGAAAGTCTAAACATTTATATTGTAAATGTGTATCTCGTTTAACACATGTATTTCTCGCAGTGTTTCCCGTATTAATCATTTTTACGCTGAAATCATCAGTATTTACAGTATTTTACAGTGAATAACAATACTATACATCAGTTTAATTGTATTATTTGTTGATTAAAACAATCATATATTTGTGTAATAACTGTGATATTAGGGTAGGGATCATGAGATAGAGTCATGTTTTTTGTGCACATCCTTAGAGATGAGCTAAAAATCTATTTAAAGAATGCATAAAAAACTATAATCTTATCGGGAAGGGTTTGTTTTGACGTAAAATGACAAAAATACACACCTTTTCTATAAGAGATATTAATTTATTTAATGATATAATATTTAGATTATATATAAATTATATTATGATATACCGGTATATTATAACTGAAACTTCCGGTAATAAAAAAACGTATAATAGTAAATGTAAACAGATTTTTGTCATATATACCAATAATTCGTGTAAATATTGAAAAAATTAAAAAAATTATTTCTATAGTTGGCTATAAAATAAAATTTACAATTCATATCAAAAACACTTTCTAATAAATGAAAAAATGAAATGATAAGCTTATAATTAAAGCATCCAAATCTAGGTGGTATAAAAGACCCTTATAGTCACTATCATAGTTAACAAAAAGTGGTCAAATAGTTGGTTAAATAGTTATTTATTTTTCTAAAGTTTTAGATAAAATCACTTTATAACTGAATATAATGACAAAAATTTGCATTATTTATGAATTTTGACAACTAATTAACTATTCTCATCGATTAACTCGTAAATATAACCATATTTTAATCCCTAAACAGGATTAAATAAATATCAAAAGAAAAATGCAATTTTGATTTCTTATAAACTAACAGTGGTATTCATAGTGTCGACTTAAGTCTTAGCTGAGTCTCACATTTTAAGTAATTGCTCAGATGGTTTATGAAACGCATTTAATCTGAGCTGCACCTTAAAACAACGTCTAAATCTTAAAAATT